TATATATATAATATTTATATAATATTTTAAAAAAGTAATTAAAAATAAATATTTTTAAATATTTATATAATAACTTACTAATATTGTATGCTGTATGCTGTCTGGGTTAGTACTTTAAATCTTAACAGTACTTTGCATAAGTATTTCATCACTTAGCATAGTATTATATATTAGTATTTAAATATTGACAATGTTCTGCGTAAGTATTTTATCACTGGACGAAGTATTACATATCAATATTTAAGTATTGAAATCAATCATAAGGTAGGATTTGTAACATTAAATATTGAAATACTTGAGTACTAAAAGCTGTATTTGAATCACAGAATATTACTAAATACTGTACTTTTAATACTGAAAATAAGTAATTAATCAATGATTCTTAGTATGATATTTCTATAAGGGATATGTAATATTTTTATTTTACTTTCGAGTTTTTTCAATTTAAGTTTTATTAATGTTCTATAAATTGTTTTTATTTTGGGTATCGCCTTTTTAAAAACGCAGAAACATAAATATATTACATTTTCCAATCATTTGTGTATCAATCTACATGTCACTCCTTTACGAAAAAACTATAGGAAAATCACATATACTTTACACAATCCAATAAAGAGTTAAAAAAATAAAAAATTCAGTTTTTCTTAGAGTAAAGGGACTAAGTATATAACAAAAGTAATAAATTATTTTCCCTACTTTCACACTTCTCAGTAGGCAACGTTGTTAATAACTAATTTGTAACGGCCTTGCGTTACGTGCGGGATAGTCTTAAGCGTGGTCTACAATGAGAACTTAAGCCATAAAACTTGAGCTTTAAGCCGTAATTTATGACATCATTTCCGTTCGTAAGACTGCCCCGCCCTTACTTTAGCTGTAACCTTAATCCTCAAGCGATTTGGCGAAATTTCATTTCTTACGACTAAAAATTTATGGATTAAGTCGAACGCAATGTGATAATCAATCAGAAGTGAGACGAACAAGTACGCACATGTAAAAATATGGTGCTTTATTGACGGGTTTGCACAATGGATCCGAACGTAGATATTGATTTCAGTGAAGTACCACAGGAAAATATCGATGATGAGATTCTAATTTGTATTGTGAAAGAGAATCCAGTGCTATATGTAAAAACATTAAAAGATTACAAAAATAAGGACCTAAAACGTGATATATGGAAAAGTATTGGGAAAACGCTTGACTGTACAGGTTAAGTATTGCTTTGAATTTGGCAAAATAGAAGTAAAAAGCAAATATTTTAATTTCGGTGACATTAGGTGACCAAGCAGAGGGACGTTGGAATACTCTTCGCAATATATTCACGAAGAAGTTACGAGAAATGAAGATAGGTCAACCTAGTGGTTCTGGGTATAAAAAGATGAAAATGTGGGTCTACTTCAAACAAATGTCTTTCTTGGCACCGCACATTGCACATAGAATGCAAGTATATAATTATTTTTAGAGAATATTTTTGTCGCTTTCATAAATATCAATATTTTTATTTTTGTAGGTCACGCAGCTCTGTGGCAGATTCTCAGCAAGAAAAAACTATGACATCGCAAAGTATTCTGAAGTCCTCTCTATTCACTGAAGAATCTACAGTGAAGACAATGTCGAGTCCATTACCATCAAATAATATATTGAATTCCGAAAATATGCTGACATGCTCTGACGATAACATTAACAATATTTTATCTGATAACACATCAGTTAGTACCTCAGATCAGCAATCTCCTGTTACCGTACAAGATTGTGAGGGCAATGTATTAGAGTGTGTAAATAATAGAATGCAACAGAATAAAGCTGCAGACATTGTTACCGAGGCTGTGAACAACTCAATCCGGAAGAAGAAAGTGGTACCAGCTCCAGATCGATTTGCAGCGAAAAGACAAAAAGGAATGGAAACAATGGAAAATGTACTATCCCAGTCTTCTCATGCCTTAAATGTTGTTGCAACGGCATACATGCATCGTGCTGCTGCTGCTCAGCAACA